CTCTCTCTCTCAGTCTCTCTCTCCTCTCTCTCTCTCTCTCTCCTATCTCTCTCTCTCTCCCCTCTCTCTCTCTCAGTCTCTCTCTCTCTCCCTCTCTCTCTCTCTCTCTCTCTCTCTATCCTATCTCTCTCTCTCTCTCTCTCTCTCTCTCTCTCTCTCTCTCTCTCTCTCTCTCTCTCTCTCTCTCTCTCTCTCTCTCTCTCAGTCTCTCTCTCTCCTATCTCTCTCTCTCTCTCCTATCTCTCTCTCTCTTCTCACTCTCTCCCGCTCTCTCTCTCTCTCTCCCTCTCTCTCTCTCCCTCTCCTATCTCTCTCTCTCTCTCTCTCTCTCTCTCTCTCTCTCTCTCCTATCTCTCTCTCTCTCTCTCTCTCTCTATCTCTCTCTCCATCCACTCCCCTGCCTTACTTGCAGTCTTTACTTCCATCACACTATATTATTTTGAGCCTTCATCTTTACACCCAATTGTACTTCTAATTTAATAGTAGACTCACATGTGCTCCTTAATATTATATGAATGAATAATCTACGATTGCATACTGTTTACTTGTATTATAATGATTTATAGTGTATTTTTAACATGTATTACTAAATACTTTTGCAAAAAATATTGTACAAATTCAGCCCCTGGGCCGTGCTGCGATGCATATTCCTTGAATAAATTAACCCTTATTATTATGACGAACAGTGTAGATGAAACTGGTGACGTTGTATTCAAATAACTCAAAATATTACTATTACTATTACTATTACTGTTATGATTACTATTATTATTACTATTTTTTTTAAACTTTATTTATCGATATTACTATTACTATTATTTTACCATTTAATAATGATAATAATATTTAGCTTTTATATAGCGCTTAATACAAATTTCTCTAAGCGTTTTACATTACTTTATATTACTAGTATGATTAATATATACTAGTTTTACTATTATTACCATCATTACCAATATTACTAGTACTTGTACTAGTAATAGTACACTTATTTTGACTTTTAATATTACCATTTGTTATTCTTACTACTATTAGTGTCATTATTATCATAATTTTATTGTAATGATTATAATTATCATTTTTTTGTATCCATATCTTTTCAGTGTAAAGTGAAGGCATACACGCAGTGTTCAGGTGGCAAGGCTCGCAGCAGGGGACGGTGGTTGTGCGATTGCCCCGAGGGATATAGTTGTGACTATTCACCAGAGAATCGAGCGTTCCTCTGCATGCCTGACGACCCAACCAGGTACACAAGACGCATCATATGGTCTCGAGGAGTGCTATAATGAGGGTACGACCTGCTAACAAAAAGGGAAACCCGCTTTTAAAAAACGACCTGCTACCAAAAAGGGAAACCCGCTTTTAAAAAAACGACCTGCTACCAAAAAGGGAAATCGCTTTTAAAAAGTTAAACCACTTTATAAGAAACTCGTTAAAGAAAACTACATTTCAAATACTCAAACACTTGGAAAGTACAAACTTTTAATTAACTTTTTGGTAATCTCATAATGGTCTTGAAGAATTGTATTAAAAAAGGTACGACCTAGTACACAAATTGTAAAATTAGAAGGTTACGGCACTCAGTTAAAAGTTCCCTTCTTTTTCTTGCTAGCTCTTAACGAATATAAGTAAATATTCAATAGTAAGGTCATTAAGTAAATAAGATAACACTTGTAGAAGTTTTTTTATTCAGATTAAAAGTTGTAACATATCAGTTTATCTTCCATAATAGAGTATCACATGTAGCAAGACAGGTTTCACACTTTTAAAACTCTCTCAAGTACTTGTTATCGAAGTACTTTCCGAGTGTTCTCGCAGCATGTTGCATTTTATACCTTCAACCAAAATTAAAATGTTTGTGCGGATCAAGAAAGTTTGCTTCATGCAGAAATATCCCAGATATATATTTATATATATTCAATTCCAAGGGTTTCTTTATAAAGAGGGGGAATTGACTTATCTACTTTTTAGAAAGATTCAGTTTAACTGAAAGATTTTGCATTATGTTGACACACACATTATGAAATTCAAAAAGCGTTTTAGAAAGTATTGTAGTGAAATCAAACACAAGTCTTATCTAGTTTTGTACATCATTAACAAATCAATACGTTTTTAAATGATAATAATGTTTCTGACATTCCTTTCTTGTTATGTTTGCATTATTATTTTGCAGCGATTACGATTCGGTTATTAACCGGATTGCCTGAACCCACCAATCTAAGATGACGGGTAACCGTACTTTCAACATTCGATGGATCCGTTAGGTCATTTATTCATCATATCTTCATTATTATTCCACTTGGTATACCTTCGCCTGAACTGTCGACCTTTGACCTTTGACATCTGTATGTGTTACATTAAAAATATACTAATATTTGTGTTCAAACACGGTTGTTCAATTAATGGACTCATGGCATAGTATAAATTCAGTTGATTCTTTTTACGGAATGTGGTCATCTCCCAAAGTCCCCAAAATAAAATTGTATTAACAAACTTGTTGTATTTGCACGTATATGAAATTATATTGCCTCTACATTAGAAGCAGAGGAAGGGGGAGGGGGGGGGGGGGGCAACAGTCAGTTTTTTGGAAAACTCCTTGATCCCATATGTTCTGTTTATTTTCCTATTTTGTAACTAAAACAAATTTCCTTTTGATTTTGACCAAAATATGATGCCCAGAAATCCTTATTCATTTCAAATGTATGATTTTCTTGTATATAATTCCATGATATTTCTTGGCACTTTGCCAATTATTGCAAATTATGTAAATAATCAAGATGTTTACGTTTTGTCAAGCACGCATTTAGTTGAGCTATTAATCAAATTCATGGTTAGGAGAGTAGGCTAACAAAGCACCTATTTAATTTACTAAAAATATATTTGTTCTTCAGTACTAAAATGGCATTGGATATGAAGTAGAGTGTTATAGTATAGTCAATGGCAAATAACACTTTTAGTTATTAAAGCGTCTATTAAAGTTGTTGTGTTTTTGTTCTTTGTTTTTATTTTAACTGTTTAATATGTTGTTGCAATCTATTTAATCGAAAGCTAATATTGTATATCATTCATTATGTCTGTTACCATTTAATAGCTCGGCCATATTTGTGTTAAGCAAGCCATTTTGTGAAGAATCTAAACTACTAAACCTATGGAAGTTAAACGTCATTGATATGTTTCCAAACGTGCAGTATGCATAAGATCTTATAACCCGCTACATGGTGTGACGTCATTTCGAAGGCATTGTTGCTTATCAAGTCACTAACGCATTCTTACTAGCGCGTAAATAACAGCGCAAGTCACTGACGCAGTCTTGCTAGCGCGTAAATAACAGCGCAAGTCACTAACGCAGTCTTGCTAGCGCGTAAATAACAGCGCAAGTCATTGACGCAGTCTCTTTTGTAGCGCCTAAATAACAGCGCAAGTCACGGACGCAGTCTCTTTTGTAGTGCGTAAATAACAGCGCACGTCACTGACGTAGTCTCTTTTGCAGCGCGTAAATAACATCGCAAGTCACTGACGCAGTCTCTATTGTAGCGCGTAAATAATAGCACACGTCACTGACGCAGTCTTGAGTTAGGTACATGACGCCTCGTGTGCAGTGGATGCATTAGTTAGAAATGGCTCGATGGCTTGTTTATAATATCATATTCCAAGCAACGTCGATGAACAAGATATGAAAGGATGATTGTGTAAAATGAAAAAGTCAAATGGTTTTAATCATTTTAGCGAAGATACAAGGGATCTCATTGGTTCGAGCCCCGGCATGACATACGTGTACTGAACGTGCATGTCATTTATACTCACAACCAAGAAGATTGGAAATGTGGGATTGACAAGATTCCAAAAGCGATCCTAAACATGCTAAATGAATAACTTACATCATCATGGTATGGTGTGTACAATGTGTATTGTATTTAAAGCGCTTTGGAGACATTAGTATCAAGCGTAATATCATATACCCTCCAAGGCGTTAATTATACGATCTTATCGCGGTTAACTATTAAACAAGGCAATAACATTACTAGTTCTGACCGTTCAATTCAATTAATGTGTGGTATCTTTTTCGAGAAATTTATCCTAAAGATTAGAGAAGGCCTTCTATTATTTATTAAATATCGATGATTTAAACTTCCAAAACACAAATAAAAAAATAGCTCACTCAACATGGTCAGTCGAGCTTTAGTCCATACGTTGATTTAGATTTTCTAATAAAAATGCATTTTAATGTTGTGTATTATCATACATGGTGTATCTTAGGTTTGACATTGTTTGTGACGTAAGCATTCTTCATTTGTTTGCTCTTTGTTCATGGTGGTTCATTATATTTCAAAGAAATAAATGTTATTTGAAAATAAACAATTTTAAACTTTCAGACCTTTCCTGTTGTTTTTCCCCATCAGGTGATTTCTGTCCGTCCGTCTCTCTGTCTCTCTGTCTCTCCCTCTCTCTGTCTCTTTCTCTCTACCTCGATCTCTCGCTCACACACACAAACACACACACACACACAAACACACACTATCTCTCTTTCTCTCTTGGGTTCTCCTACTCTCTCTCTCTCTCTCTCTCTCTCTCTTCCCCAATCTATCCCAATTTCTCTTGACGACTATCTATCTAACTCTACCCCATCTCATTTTTTTCCTCTCTCTTCATCACTTCATCCCTCCCCCTCATCTCTCTCTCTCTCTCTCTCTCTCTCTCTCTCTTACTGCGATTAAGATGTGTTCTCAATAAACTCAAGAAAACCTTCCAATTCAAATTTTAAACTCTCTCATTCTTTCTCTTTTTTCTTCTTCTCTCTCTCTCTCTAATTGCAATTATGGGATGTTCTCAAAAAACTCAATAAAACCTTCCAATTAAATTTTCAACCTTTCACTTTCCCTCTTTTGTTTTCTTCTCTCTCTCTCTCTCTCTCTCTCCATTTAAACTCAGAAGACATACTTAAACTACTTTTCCCTCATCATCAGGGTCAACGAAAATTATTAAAATGAACAATAATTATATTGACTTTCTAACTACATTTATTTCTGGAGTACTAATTCAAAGTGGCATATATACTAATTGACACCTTTTCCGTAATAACCCCGTGGTGTAGTAGTATTAGACAGGTGTCAAATCGTCTTGCTGTTTAGATTCCATCCGCTCCGCCTTGTCCTGTTAGGTGATGAAGAAGAAAAAAATATATATATTTTACTTCATTCAAATAAAAATTAATTAATTTCTACGACAACTCCCAATATATGTAACATATATAAGGGGAATGGCAAGGCCAAAGACGTATGTGAGGTACCGGTTTTGTGGCGTAGTGGTTCGATCACTAGTGCTATGGTCACATTACCCAAAAGTAGCCTGCTCGGCGGCCGAGCGGCGAGTTTTTAACCAATTCTGCCAGGCGGCTGCCCGGCCACCGAGCGGCGGCCGCCCAGGCACCGCTCGTTTTTAGGGCATCGCTCGGTCGCCGCTGAAGTTTTAGCGCGGAGTTAAAATTTGGGCGGCGCCTGCTCACTTTTCACTCGCCGCCCAAAATACGCTCGGTGCCTGGGCGGTCGCCGCCCGGCACCGACCTAATTGCTGGGCGATGCCTAATTTCCAGCAGCGACCGAGCAGGCTACTGATCGGTCGGTCGCTGCTCAGATTTGTGACCATTGATTGATTGAAAAGGTTTTATTGATTGCACTTCGCAGCCAGATGGCTGAATTATGAACAATTTACATTGGCAATGAATTATAATACATACAAATGTGGTTGACATTGTCACAAAGTATAATATACAGTATATAACAAAATTCATAACAAAGTTCATAACTAATATGACTAAGGCAATAACAGGCAAATTAATTCACGTTTAAAATATATTTTGTGAGGTGACACAAGAGTAGGTCAAAGGATGAGCAAGCAGGCCCTTTGCTCTTCAATACACGCTCTCATTCCTATACACGCTCCTATTCTCACTCCTGTACCTTGGACACTCTCATAAAAACTCACATTTACACTCTTATACACACTCCCATTCACACTCTCATATACACTAGCTAACGGTCTGCTCGCTCATCCCTGGACCTCTCGTGTCAAGGAGTGTCGGGTATTTAAAAAAAATATAAACAACAAAACAAGTAAGCTCCTTCCCGACTTTCGTAAATTGGGGATAAATAAGCAAATGAATTAAAAACTTGAACACCATTTGATCTGAATTGCCATGTCATGATTGCTACAAAACCTTATCACTATTCAATGTACATTTTAAAAAGATGTTACAAGTAATTATGGAAGCATAGAATTTAAAATTTAAAATGCGGAATGTAAAATGTAAAAATGTAAAAATGTAAAAATGTATGCAGACAATGAGACACCGGACCATTCAACAGGTAGACAATTAAGATTCATTCATGCATTCAACAGGTCTATTAGGTAGGGAATTGAGCTATTTCTATAGCGGTTCGTTTTACAATGAAATTGACGATACTTGGTCCTTCTTCGCAGTGAATAATCTACATTATTGTTAACAGGTAACCAATGTTTACAAAGTGGGTTGTTGACAAGAGATGAAGCAAAATTAGTGCATAATTGTTTGCGTCTATCTGACAGGGTCTGCAAAGAACACACTTCAAGAGCTTTGTCATAATTAATATATTGATCACCTAGTATGGTCCTACATGCTCTTTTCTGGATTCGTTCCAAACTTAAGATATGACTTTGGGTGAGGTTTCCGTTAAAAACAGGTACTCCATAATCCAATATTGGGCGAATATATCCCTTGTAAATTGTTACTAGATCACAGAAAGGCAATCTGTATGTTTTGAGAATACGAAGCATGAAAAGTTTTTTATTAGCACGGCATAAAAGGTCTGAGATATGACTGTCCCATTTCAAATCGGACTGCACAGTTATTCCTAAAATTTTTGCTTTTTGTACACTGTTTAAGCACTCATCCCCAATAAACAAAGGTCTCTGATCAGCTATATTCTTAGAAAAAGAGATAAACATACAATGACATTTCGATGGATTAAGAGTCATGTTATTACGAAGAGACCATTGATAAAAATCAGATAAAGTATTTGGTAATTTAGACGGTTGTGATAATGTACGACTTTCAACTAATGTCAGATCGTCTACATACTTGAAGTAGCCTATGGTACTTCTGAGTTAAAACAAGCATCATTTATCATTATTAGGAAAATAATTGGTCCTAATTTTGTACCCTGTGCTACACCGGCATGAGACGTTGACCAGTTTGAAAAATGACCAAGATATTTCACACGTTGTTGACGGTGTTCAATAAAATCTAAGATCCATGAAATAATACAAGGCCGAACATGAAGGTGGATTAACTTATTGGCAAGTATATTATGGTCTATACGATCAAAAGCTTTTGAAAAGTCTGTAAAGATAAGTGTAGATATGGACCGAGAATTTTCTGCATTTTTATAAATCTGGTGAAGCAAACGAATTAAGTAATGATTAGTTGACAGACCTTGACGGTTTCCGTATTGATTAATATCAATTTGAATTGAAATGTCTTCGAGTAACCATTTACATATATAAGACTCAGCTATTTTCGCAAAATAACTAGTTAGTGCTATAGGTCTTAAATTCTGAGGTATTACAGGCTTACATTTAGGAATTGGTGTGATCTCACATCGTTTCCACTGATATGGTACCACTGACAACTGGAAAGATGTGTTTAAGATATCAGTAAGAGGTGTACAAAATTCCAGTGCAAACTCTCTAAGAATTCGCACTGGTAAGTCTCCACTTATAACAGACTTTTGTTGGTTTAACGAACTCAATTGTTTAAAAACTTCATAAGGTCGTACAATCGGACATGTTTCCTGAGCTGGTAAGTAAGCAGGTAAATTATTCCTACTAAGACCTGGTAGATCGGATGCCACCGCTAAAAAATGCTCGTTTATATAATTAGCAATATGTTTGAATTTGTCTGGGTCATTCGGGTCAATATTTGGTACTACAATTGGAGTATGTTTCTTTTCAGTATTTGTTAAAATCCGAATCTGCTTTAATATACCAAGCTGCTGGGCTGTCACTTTTTAAGTTGCGAACTCTGGTGTTATAATATGAAATCTTCTGTCGTTTTATCAACCGTTTAACTTTGTTTCTAAGATGATGCCACAAACTTTTTGATTTGTTATTAAAAGCTTGCTGTCTTTGGCGGATAACATCTTTAACTTCAGCATTTATCCAAGGCTTATCTCTACAATGCAAACGAATCTCCTTAGTAGGAACATGTATATCCAACTGAGACTGAATTGTATCCAAAAACATTTTACATTTCATAGATGGGTCTTTTACACTGAACATCTCTTCCCAAGTATACTGAGTTAACCAACTACCAAATGACCATAGCTTTAGCTCTCCAATCCAAGGGTTAAGGGTTCGAATCTCAGCCCCGCACAACCGTCTTTTGGCATGCCATTAATCCACATTTCCCACTCTCCACCAAGGTGTTACATGGGTACCCTGGCTGATACGAAAGTCGTTGTAGTTGGCTCAGAATTGTGAGCGTCTTAAAAATGGCGCCTGACTTGAATGCTCCCAAGGGAGTGGGGAATGTTCATAGATTTATGCCTAGGAAAGCTTTAATCCAATGACCGGGGCAATTATATACACACATAGCGCTCTATAGAGGTGTATTAAGCGCTTTATAAACCCACACTATTATTTTAATATCATCATATGAAGGACTATTCCGCCATTTTATTTAAGTAGAAATTATTATTTATATAACAACTTAATTATTCAAATACCTTGTACATTTGAAATGTGTGTGTTCATAGTAACTTAAAGCCCCTTTAAAGTGTTGGGAGCCCCACAAATTTGATGCAACATTTCAATTGAATTGTATCATAAATGTGAAAGAGGTTGTCATTTAAGACACAGTGTTTGAAGTCGAATATTGATGAAAGAGTACAGCATTTAGGATGTCTGCGTACAACAGAAAACCCAAATTATGTATTCTTTTATCAATATTTGTCTTCAAACATATTTTGGGGGAGGAAATCTTTAAAGAAGTGTGTCTTAAATAAAATTCTCTCTCACATTATGATACAATTTAAGTTAAATTTTACCATCAAATTTTGGGCACATTTTGGGCTCCCAACACTTTAGGGGAGCTTAACAAATTATAGGTGAGCTTGTTGAATTCAGGCCTCTAACATGGAAGCTCTAATATGCGACATTCTCGAAAACATTAATCGGGACCAACACATTTCCATATACTTAAACAAAGACAAAAACTCGGTTATGGTTTGAATGATTTAGTTGTTAACTGTATAGCAACAAACAGAAAAGTAAGTTGATATGGGAATGGATGATAACAAATGAAATCCAATTTGGATTCTGAATGTGTAAGAGACGGAATAAGATATGAGACGGGTACACAATAGGTGGAAAGTGAGAGGAAATAAAAAAGACATGATAGAGACAAACATTGAAGGAGATAACAAAGACAAACGAATTCAGAGAGAGAAAGAGAGAGAGAGAGAGGGGGGAGGGGGAGACAGAGAGATAAAAACAGAGAGACAGAGAGACAGAGAGATAAAAACAGAGAGACAGAGAGACGGAGAGGCAGAGAGAGAGAGAGAGAGAGAGAGAGAGAAGGGGCAGACAAAGACATACATATAGATAGACAGAAGGACAGGGAGGCAGAGACAGAGAGACAGAGAGACGGAGAGGCAGAGAGTGAGAAAGGAAAAGGGGAAGAGACAGATATAAACAGACATATGAGAAATACATAGAGAGAGAGGGAGAGAGAGAGAGAGAGAGAGGCATAGGGAGAGATAGAAACAGAGAGAGAGACAGTGAGAGACAGAGAGAGAGAGAAAGAGAGAGAGAGTGGGGGAGAGAGAGGCAGAGCTATTAGGGATGGGGTGGGGAAAAGAAGACAGAAACAGGTTTAAGATGGACGCAAAGCCTGGAATCAGGAATAGCACACACATTAATGAGGTGATCGCAAAACGATAGAGGGCGGACTACAGTGATAGGGGAAAAGTCACATGGCATTTGCATTCGTTGATTCATGAAATGAAATCTGAAAAGTACAAATCTGATATTATACCTATCATGGAGAAGAAGAAAAAGAAGAAGAAGAATAAGAACAACAACAACAACTACAACAAGAACAAGGACAACAAGAACAAAACAAGGAATAGAAAGAAAGAAAGAAAGTATGAAAAAGAAAAAGGGGAGGGTGAAGAGGTGCAACTTCTCGGGATGCATGAATACAAAATGTGAATAATACGGTAAAGATAGTTATGAGGGGGGGGGGGGTTGCCCCCTATAGTTCCCCTGGATACAGCACTGATATATAATTCTCACCTTGGCAGAACGCGACATCACCAGAACGACGGAAACAAAGGCAACCTGGAGCTGTTTCACATGCTGTAAAAAAAAAATGATTGCACCCTCGAGTAAATAATTTAGTTTTCATTTTACTTTATAAAATAAGAACAATAAGAAATCCGAAGCGACACAAACATACGATTTACAATTGATGAATTGTTTTTATTTTTTTTAATTATTAAATAATTTACTAATTTTTTGTTTAAAGAAAATTGTTAATGAAAATAATTATGATAATTAATAATAAAGCTAAAAATGTTTCAAGGTGTTTTATATCACTTTGTCTCTCAAACGTATCTGACATATATATCGAAATTAACGACTTAATACAATAATAAAATTATAAAACACAAAATACAAAGTACCACAAGTTAGCAGAACTGGAACTACTTTAAAATAAACTTACTAGTATGTATTTTCAATGGCCTCGTTAGTTACTGGTAATGTGTGAACATGACCATGAGGTATTACGTAATCCGAACGTATATGATTTATATCGGGTATACAATAGGGCAGGCCTTCTCAAAGTCAAAACCGCGGGGCAGGCAGGCCTGTCAATCCGGATCGCCCGCCGGGAAGGCTTTTTTTTTAAAAACCCTAGAAGGGTCTGGGGGGGGGGGGGATTAGACCACCCTGTAAAGTCACTGACAGGTGGTTACCTCATCAAATCAGCTCTCAATTAACATAAGAAAAGGGGATCATGGGGGACCAACAGGCCCCAATTAGGCATTGTTTGCTATATAGAGGGCGCAAGTAGCTTTAAGTAGTACAATGGGGCTTTAATGAAAGCCACGTCCTATGCAAACATTTCCTAACTTTCGGATTTAACGTAATGTGTATGCAGAGCATAAACGCATGGTACTAGCGTGTATACCAGTAAGGGCGAAATAATGATTATCCTGATGAAAATATTCATGGTAGACATGAGATAGGAACCCATTGACTTACCCTTGAACTTCTTCATGTTAGCCCCTCTTTTCTCAGCGAGTAACAGGTCCTGCATGACTGGATCTCTCTTGAGAAACATCAAGGCCTCAGCGTCCTGATCGTCGTCGAGCTCGTAAGGGAATGCCGTGGTCATTCCTACGACCATCAGGGCGATGAGACAGATGAGGAAGAATCGAGAAGCCATGGTGTCTGGAAACGAAAGCACGAGATTCCTGGTTATAGTAATGACATTTTATATAGCTTATTGAGCTATAGCCGAAAATGGAAATATAATTCGTTTAACACCAATTGAAGGGCCGTCTTGTAAATTAAAATGGCCGTCAAGTTAGATAAATGATGTCAGTCTCTCATCTTTATTTTTTCATAACTCATCTTATTATACATTCAAAGTCACCTACCGTTAGCAGATTTATAAGTGTTAATTTTCCTCTTAAAAATAATCGTTGTGACAGATTAATTTCTGTTATCAACGTACCAGCTTGATACTACATTACAATTGTATGTACACTTTATTAGCAGCGGCTTTTAATGCCCCTTGTAAAAATAGATTGGTAACCATTACATACACGTGCCCGTAATATTGGTCTTCATTTTCAGAATTGTCTACACCCCATTTTGTGTAATCATGCACCCACTCCTTTTTAACGTGATCATGTATTTATGTTAAAGGATTAGAACCTGAATTCTTAAAAATATAATACACCTCTGCCAACTTCAAAGAAATATAAAGATGCTACAGCTCAGAGTCCAATGGATGAATAGCATGCATTTGTTAGAACTATTATGTCCCTTACTATTATAGCACTGCACAAACATCTATTTAGGAATGAACACGATCGCAAAGACTTTCGAAAAATAACTCGAAGGCAACTTCTGTAGAACTTCTGTACTCCTATAGAAATAGTGATCGGATTACGTCATGCGTCATTATAATGTTCGCATACTTCTAAAGGTGGCAAACTATTTAAACTGCCTTACTCACTAGGTTGATTTTTCCAAGTAGTAATTATGTCACCTCCCTGACTTTTCAATTTCAAAACTCTTTCCGATCGTGTTACGTCCTACCATACTGTCTACTTACCGAGATTGATGTAGGGTATCCTTGATAGCTTGTTCTTCTGAGACCTTCTGGTAGTGTTCCTAGACGAGTTGTGTTGTTCACTGTTAACATTCAGCGTATTTATACAAACTTTCAAGACGTCCATAGTCATGGATGGACAATTAAGAAAACACTAATTAACCGACCTCCCATGAACCTGATGAACAAAGATTTTAGAAGAAATGTTTCTTGAGTTGTCATGAAAGATTGATTGGAATATGAAAACAAACTATGTTTACAGCCATAAACCACGGGCCACCTCATACCGGTTGTTAGATCAATAAAATGCCAAATCTAGTCTCGATATTTGTATTTAGTCAGCAGGGGTGCTAACCGTTATTAGAATATATACATTCTAAAGGTTTTTAGTAGGTAACGTACGGCTGGCAAAATGGAGTAGGCACGCCAGCATGCCATATTTACAGCAAAGTTTATGGTACTTAGGAACTTAGGTTTTGACTGCTATGTTTCATGTTTATGAATTTTGTTTTACATGAAAGGGATTGTCCTCTTTATCGACTAATAAAGAGGTTAAATGGATAATAACTACCTGACTTTAGTAATTTGCTATCAAAATATGAACATAATTTGGAAGTTACGAGCTTTTTTAATGCCAACGGCCTAGTCTGCTGAACGCAATAATGTCCGTCTGCGTTCAGCGGAACGGCGCAACGCGCTTAGTCTGCAAGCACAAACCCTGGTCAGTCGTAAAAGTGAGTCTGCACTATAAGACTACCATAGGCCAAGTACTGTAGCTGCTCCTGACACGAGCACAAACCCTGGTCAGTCGTAAAAGTGAGTCTGCACTATAAGACTACCTTAGGCCAAGTACTGTAGCTGCTCCTGACACTGACACAGCCAGTAGGTAGCTGGGCTAGACTTCTCTCAAGGCACAATGATTTTTTTTAAAGTGTCAAGTTAGGGTCTGTGCCTGCAGACTACAACGCGCTTACGCTATAACTGTAATACGACTCATATCCTAAAGATACGTTTATTGGGAATCAGCAGGGGGTCGCAAAGTTATTGTCATAGCTTTTCCTAGGTTTCACGCACTGAATAGCTTTAATTAACATCTCAGCAGGAATATGTAATACCAAGGAGCTTAGCTCCTTGATAAAACAAACTGCGCAATGGGTCGTTTCGTTATCAGCTTTAACTAGACCTATAAACAAGTGACAAATATGACTGAAAAGTTACTTCCGGACAAAATGTTGTAACGGCCAATTATAGAAATGTTTATATGAAGTAAGAATAGTTTTACAACTGACTCCGATGATGTTTTTCTTCTCACAATTTGTTTGATAGATTCAATTACGTTGTATCTACGAGTTTGATATTAAATGTATACTGTTGTTAGTACATGATGGTATGTTGGGTAATATGTGTACATAAGTCGAAATTGTAATCGTATGTGCTACGTCATGCATGCTGGTCTAAAGGCATGTTCTTGTTTGTATGATAATAATGTGATTACGATATTGTTGTTATTATTATTTGGTTTCAAAAGCGCTTTTAACAAAGTGTATCACAGCGCTTATAAATCATTTGAATAATAATATTCTCCTCTCATTTTCAACTCTCTGTGTTACTTTTCTGCCTCTTCGTTCCCGTATTCCTACTAAAATCTATGATTACTTTTAAAATTGATGATCTCAAGAATATTTTTGTCCGTTCGCCTATGACCACTTCCAAGAAGAAGAAAAAAGTCGAGCAACAGATGAAATACGTTACACTGGTATTATATTAATTGTTAATTTATTGTCATTTTGTTATCTATCCTGATGTAACTAAAATAAACATTTTGAAACATTATAGGCAAAAATTCACTCAATTATATGTATGGCTCATACAGCTTAAATTATTAATCAGAATACCTTTGTTTACATCGGTACATTTACGTGCATTAATGTATTATCCTCTTGCTGTGCCAGCGTCGGATCTATGTGGCAAGCATTGATGGTAATCTGAAAACAGTGTTATATTTCTTGCTAGTAAAACTATGTCAATTGTCATAACAAATCAGACTTAGGACAAGTTATTGGTTAAAGGTAATACAACATTTTGGTATGGGGTCATGAATTTGGTTCAAATGAATGCATTAGATTTATCAATATTCAATGATTGCTGTCGCGGTTGAAATCAAGTCCAAAGTGATGAAATTGTAAAATAATAAACTCTTTATCTTGTATAGCTCCATCTCAAGACTGATATTACTTTAGCCTTAAAACAATGTTTTGTTTACTACAATCGACCGATTTGCTATTCCCGTTTGGAAATTATATATCGGAACTGCATATTCTTTGAAAAAAATCATGTTCGTAGCTACCATGGAATGGCCTTAGACGCTATTTGAAATATTTGAAATTTACCGGGAGCAGCGATAAATTTTGATTATTCAATTTCTCTAAAGCAGAAGTGTTTTAGGGGTTAATTTTTCCAGTGCGTATAATACATCCACAGGGGCATCCAAATATATCAAAATTTTAAAGAATTACTATCCAACCAATTTTCTAAATTTCCCAACACTTTGCATTACCTTTAATGTTTGCACAAAGCTTATTGCGTGCGCAAAAAGTTAAAGACCATATCCGATGAAATTACATCAAAGTATCAAATGTGAACCTGAATGAATGTTGAATACAAATGTAATGGATTAAACAATTATTGTCCCTGTCAGTATTGCACACAAGCAAATCAAAACCTCATTTTCCGCATCCCTCTACATCGACATAATAACTTCAAAGGTAAAGACCAGTTTTGGAAACGCCCCCTCTCAAAAAATGAAATGGAAGCTCTTATTACCAACCATGTGAAAGAATATGTTTTGACTACTAGTAATATGTGATGATACAAATTTTTCCTGGAAACCGTCTACTAATTGATATATTTGGTAAATTATTATATCTATCCGGATTGGATAGATAAAGGTTAGTCCCTTATGCATCTTTCTGTGTACAGTGCTTATAACTTTACCAAGACTGGGCCAAATTTCTTATCATTTTGATGATTCCAGAACCTTGCAGTAGGCCTACACACCAATACTATGCTAGATGATCAACCTTTTCTGATCGATTCCACAGCGTTTCTTTCACAATGCAATCGCATGGCCAGAAGTGGTCTATACCTTTAAAGTGCATCGGTCAAGTATTATATAATAAGAACCATGACGTGGTGCCATACACATTAACATGTAGATTGTGTACAGGATTTTTGTTCTCGCTCTTTATTTTAACAATGTAAAAGCAGAGATAATACAGAGACACATAATGTAAAACTCTTTAAAAACTTTTGTTCATTCAAAAAATAACATTGATAAGTATTGTAATTGTAGTTTAATTGTAAATGAGCTGGGAAATAGCTTCATTACATGATCTTGATGGTAACCTGCATGAACAGAAATGTGAAACTCTAACTTCTTTTGTGCATATTATTAGGTTATTACAAGACATGGTTAAAAAGGTTCCAGTGTTTTAAAAAGTAAACATCTTTCACTTTTCGGTCAAATCTCAAAATCAGTAACATTTTGAGGCATAAAAATATATCATTAACAAATCATGTTATCATTTATAGTGATTAGAATGTCGTAATCATTTTTACTGAAACTTTATTTCCTCTCCATTAATACACATCGTGAGCTTTATTCGATCGAAAAAGTTACCGTTCGTACGTTGATTTCATTATTTTCTTTCTCATCATACACTGTCGCTCATATAGTTGGAATATATTTGTTTTACCCCAATTTATGGAATTATTTTAAAAATAATTTAAAAATGATAGATCTAGATAATAGTATACATTTTCAGATTTTATTGAATAATAATTTGACAATGTGTGTTTTGCGTGACTGCAAAAGCATGTGTATACTACTTTGCTTATCAACTAGGGGACCTACGCCTTTAAGTCATAAATGACAGTGATGAGGATTAATTTTGGTAAAATACAGTGATTTCATTTAGATCTAAACGAATGTGAAATAGATTAAAGGTGGGATATTTGGAACAAACATTTCATTGTACAGAAAATGTTTAAAGATGCCTGCACAAAATAATGTACAATATCTGAGATGCTTTAGCGTAATTTGTGGCGTCTGTAATGTTTTTTATTGGTTTGTAACACTTTTCAACATGCTTTCATCTAGCTGCACTCATTTAAAGCACAATGCATAATGCTGAAGAGGTTCTTCTCTCGGTAACATCGGACGATGGTGGTGTAGATGTAGATGCCTGGGTCTCGACTCTAGAGGGCACTGTTTCGCCTGCTCTGATCGTAGTGATGTCGTCTTTATTCGTAGTCTGTTCGTGGTGCGGTTCGTTGATGATGACAGGGGCTCTGACTTCGTTACCATCAGGACACGTGAGGGCGTTATCCCCTAAATAGACGTAAAATGGTGTGTAGGGACCAATATGGAGCATTGTAAGCATGAATCATTCCTGTATTATTCTGTTTTCTTTCCCTGCCGATAAATGATATAGCTCATATACATGTATCTTAATGTAAAGAAAAACTATAATACTACGAAATAGATAAAGTTGAGCAAAAATCATGAAAATATATAGTAAAAGACATTAAATGATTAATATTGTGAAGTTTGGGAATGATCCAAACAAAAGAAATCCTCTCAATCTTGCTGAAGGCTACATTTACTGCCCTCAGTAATGAGTATAATGGGAATACACAAAATAATTTGGAGCTAACTTTTCAGCTATATCTTGTTATTAATATTAAGCCATATAAGGTACTTGGGATTGCAATCGTTTTCATGAGACGTTTCTTATATAACGTTCTCGTGTTCTTAAAAACTGATAGACAGAGAATGATAAATGTCACAAATTATTTTTCAACTTTGCCACTGCAGAACTCATTCTATCATAATGAAGACGGACAAAAGATTTGGGTCATGCATGCTGAATACACCCTTCACGGTTACAAGAGTGCGCATGCGCCGACATGGATCGCGAGTAAATAATGGGCGCCATTTTAAATTGCGAGTAACTTTCATTTTATGCATTATGCAAAGCGCATGTGTCGATATGATGTGAGCACGCAGCGCAGGCAGTGACGCAACAATGCATGCGCGTCTGAAAGCATTGATGACGCAATGTTTACTCGCAAATTAAAATGGCGGCCTTCACCGTAAAGGGGTGTATTAGACATGTTACAGTAAGAGGTAAAATGAATAGAATTTTAAGCAAAATGATAAATAAGATATATCCAAACAGTTACTAAACAGATGCTATGTATAAAGCACAGTCCTGATTATATGCATATTCAAGGTTCAGGGTTCAAGGTTCAAGGTTCAAAGGTCTAGATCACATACCTTCATCTGAATCTGAGTCCGAAGCTGAGTCTGTGTCGTCATCATTGGTCTGGTTTGATCGAGCAATCACAAAGTGTGTCATCATCCTACCCTTACCTTTGATCTCCATCCCACCCCGGGCCTCGCATTCAAACCCTTTACCCTTGATCGCTCTAGAAACCAAGAAAAAATATAACAATCAAGCTTAGTATTATACAAAGATTAAACATGTTTGCAACTACTCTCGAAATTCAATTAAACGTCATTTTCAATTCCCTTATTTATTATATCCGATATAAATCATGTACGGATTACGTAATACGTCTCTGTCATATTCGCGCATTTTAATAGGTGGTATTGTAGGCCATTGAAATTACCTTAGGTTGATTTCTCGAAAGTAGTTGCGATCGTCATGAATCTTGTATTTAAGATTTATTTTCCTCATGTATATTTTAAACAAACCCCTCACATTAACATATTTCGTTTGTAAATTGCGCGCTTATTATTAAACAACCTAAATGGAACACAAAGGGGAAATATTCTGGGTAATTTTACTATGCGGAAAAGTGGTATTTTAAAATAAAAAATCACTTGACGTATAACGTACAGTGACGTATACGGCAGCATCGTCAAAGGGAGATATCCCGTTTAGTATGTTAGTGATATCTTTGACGAATTAAATCCGGGAGCAAATATCGCGTATTTTAATATCGACTCACTGTCCCAGCCTAGTGCCAGTGTGAAGAGGCCTCTAACGCCTAATTACCTGTAGGTAGAAGGGCTAATGTGAACTCACCTGTAGGTAGAAGGGCTAATGTGAACCTTCCCCGGTAAACTGTGGCTCTCCATTCTCGATGCCGTGTTCACAGTATCACCAAACAAACAGTATCTAGGCATCTTAACACCCAACACCAGCTACTACAAAACGAATGTGAACTCACCTGTAGGTAGAAGGGCTAATGTGAACCTTCCCAGGTAAACTGTGGCTCTCCATTCTCGATGCCGTGTTCACAGTATCACCAAACAAACAGTATCTAGGCATCTTAACACCCACAACACCAGCTACTACAGAACGAATGTGAACTCACCTGTAGGTAGAAGGGCTAATGTGAACCTTCCCAGGTAAACTGTGGCTCTCCATTCTCGATGCCGTGTTCACAGTATCACCAAACAAACAGTATCTAGGCATCTTAACACCCACAACACCAGCTACTACAGCTCCGGTGTGAATACCGACTCGAATCTATGTTGATGAGAAAAACAAGGAAACAAGTTAAAGATCTTAGCCTTTAAAATATCTGTTTGCCAAAAGGCTTTGAAATCCAGCAATAGCGAAGGGAATAGTGAGAAAGAGAGAAAGAAACACACACAGAGAGAGAAGAAAAAGAGGAGGGGAGTGAACGTAACGGATACAAAGAAAGAGACAACTAGAGGGAGAAAGAGACAGGGAGAGAGAAAGGGAGAGAAAGAGAGAGAGAGAGGGGGTGGGAAGAAGAGAGATAGAAAGAGGAGGGAGAGGAGAGATGAGGAAAGAGAGATGGGGCAAACGGGAAGGGGCGCAAAGCTTATAAGACATTGTTAACAACCGTACTTCTTGGTGATACAAATTAAATACAGACAAGTTTATTAAAATCAACATCTAAAGTGACGAAGAGTGATATCATCTTCAGGATAGCAGAAAGACACTTTATCATTCTGGTTGCATTGTATCATGTTTTAGCCAGTGATTTGTAGAGAGAGATACAACTTGCACAAAATAAATATACCTCGGGCTCTTCCCTAACAGTTATTTGTTTAACCTCCCTGTAATAACTAAGTTTTGAAACCAATTGATGTTGGAGGATTGTATTGCTTGACTGTTAATAAAGCAGGTATTATGCTTGTAAGTATAAGCAGCCAGGGAACCAACGCCTTTAAGTCCTTTCAGATGGACTTGGGTAATGACGGTTAATACCTTACCGAAGGGCAGGAGCGCATTGACTTGGTTTCGAACCCGGGACCTCCCGGTTATGAGACCAACTCTCTACAACTGAGCCATCGCGCCTCCTATAACCGTCTGAACTACACCGTTACTATATTCTAGGAGCATTATCCTACCTGTATTATCTCTCCTGTGACGGGCGATGAGATGCTCTTAACCCCTTCAACCTGCCCGAGACCAAAGCATGCCACCTGTTCAGCATGAGTTTCATTAGGGATTGGCAAACCGCCTACCGTCATGTAGGCATCCCCGATGGTTTCAACCTTAAATAAATGCAATTTGTTAAAGTGTTAATACCGTAAAATAGTGAGCATTAACACAAAATGTTATAACCTCTTCTATCGTCTTTTTTTTCTCCAAGGAATGCAAGTATTGTTTTTTTATTTTTACTCATGAACTCGTTTACTTGTAATACTCAACAACCTAAGGGAAAATGGTGTAATAGGAAAGCGCTAAAAAGATAAGGCATTTTCAATTAGAAATTCGACTATTTATTAAAGCTGACAAATATCCAACATATGAGATAATGTACAAATAGCTGAATATCGTGAAAGTACAAATACAAATTGTAAATATACGGGAGAGCATTGCAAGTTAACGAATCTATCTCGAAGCTAGTTCTAATTGACTTAGTTTTTCCTATCTTTGTATTATTGGTTGATGCAATGATAATATTAAAGAAGATTCGTTTAATATATTTTTGTAACACCGTGTCGAATCTCCTTGACAAGATACGCAACTTATTCCATTGTTAACGGGGTTGGGGGGGGGGGGGACTCCTGCATTTCTCTAAAAAAATGTAATGTTTCCTTTCCTGCATACCTTATACACATTGTGTACGCTGGTGAGCTCATCGAAGACAACATACATCTCATTGAGAAGATGAACAATCTGAATAGGATCACACTGAGAACACATGTCGGTGAAGCGAACTATATCACTGAAGGAAATAGTCACCTGCTGAAACTCACCTAGAGAAAGAAAAGGAGGGTGAGAGAGGGAGAGAGAAAAAGAGAAAGAGAGAGAGAAAGAGGGGGAGAGAGAGAGAGAAAGAGAGAGAGATGGATAAAGAGAGAGAAGGAAAGAGAGAAAGAGAGAGAGGGAGAAATAGAGAAGGAGAGAGAGTAAGAGAGAGGGATGGAGAGAGAGAGAGAGAGAGAGAGGAAGAGAGAGAGAAAGAGAGAGAGAAAAAAAGAAGGGGTAGAAGATGTTGGAATCCATGTGAAGCAAACCACATTGTATAATGATAATGTAAAAAATAGTCACTTACTAGAAATTTAACTACAGAGAGAAAAAGAGAGGAGAGAGAAATGTTCATATACAGAAAGAGAGGCGACCATACTCATAACTGTTTGTGATAAAATAAAATTCCTTTATTTCGACCCCGGGCTCCTTGATCCTTCTCGAGCCATCTTGGATAATTTTCTTTACGGCAACGCCAACCCCAAAATATACTTTAATAATGATTATTAATTTGATTAATCGTCACGTAGCCTTAAAGGTAATACAAAGTTTTGGGAAATTTTGAAATTGGGTGGATAGTGATTCTTTACAATTTTGATATATTTGGATGCCCCTGTGGATGTTTTATAAGCGCTAAAAAATTTAGCCCCTCTACTCAAAACCTATCTTTTCAAATTGTAAATTGCAGTTGTGCGTCGGTCAATGGAGGTGCGCACCATATTTGTCTTTATTTAGTTGATTGCCACTGTTTTTCTTACCTTATCTATGTTACTTTTGTATTTTTGCTTTTTCTTCTAATTTGATTCTACGGGTTATAGTCTTCTCTTAATCAGAACACTGTGCGCTTAGAAACATCAGTATTAAGCGCCTAATAAATGTTATGTATTATTATTATTATTAACAATTCTGCTTTCAAGAAAAATTGAATATAACAATTTACCGGTGCTCCCGGTAAATTTTGATAAATTTTTAAATAGCGCCTACGGCCGTAATATGGTAGCTGCAATCATGAAAATCTCAGACTATGTAGTTGTGATATATCATTTCTAAACGGGAATAGCTAATCGGTCGATTTTGGTCAAGAAACATTGTTTCATAGCTTGATTGATACCTTGACCTTGAGAGGGAGCTATACAACATAAAGAGTTAATTATTTACAATTCCATAACTTTAGACTCGATTTCAACCCCGACAACGATCACTGAATATTGTAAGATTGCTTATGCTTCAAACATGTCCATTTGAACCAAATTCATAACCCCATACCAAAACTTTGTATTACCTTTAACAATAGGTGTTATTTATTTAGTTCAATTATGTATTTATTATGATTTCATCTGGGACCCGTTTGACAAAGCCTTCTTTCAATGACAAATTTCAGTAGCTTAAACAAAAACTGTCATTTATTACTGATGACAAGTTTTTGTGAAATGGGGCCATGACCATTGATTGACTTATCATACCTGCCTCAACCTTCTTCCCATCTCGGAGATCATTAGCGACCTCTTTCGGCAGCATTGAGTACAGTAGTGTATCGGTTTTCTTCTTCTCTAGTTCTAGGTCTCTCATGAGCGTGCGCAGTTCTTCTTTCTTCTGCTCCAACTGCTTCGCCAACTCAACCTAAAAACAATGCATTAAATAGAAATCGTTTGCCTTTTGTTGATTCGATGAAAGTGATATTATGATTATTACAAACACGAAGCGCAACACGTGGTTCAAAAAGAGGGCTCGCCCATTACATTTTAGTATTACTTAAAACAATTATTGTAACTTTTTATTGATACAAGCTTTTATAGAGCAGGACACAGGATTTCTTGTCTAGAACCTACGTTGCTGATCCAGTCTGTATATAGAGTAATTTAAAGGTACTATGTCCCTTTTGCAGGCCAAAAAAATTGAAAGATAATACTAATTTAGAACTTCCCATAAAAAGAGAGGGGGCTTGAAAATGTCTTTAAGTGGTAAAATAACGACAATTAGTTGTCGAATCGACTTAGGAGCTATAGAGCCAGTAAGTAATAGTCTGATTTTCAGACCATTGTACCGAATGGTCGTACGTGTTATGCTGCACAAAGATTCAATCAGTTTAATTTTGGCCATTACAAGAAGTGGGTTATTGATGTAGACAAATGCTCATGTACCCTTTACAGCTCATTTGTATGTATGTTATTACCAAAGAAGAAAAAAAGCCAGCCAGTCACTGAATAGTGTCTGACAGTGAAATCTAGCAAGTAAACGAGTTTCCTTGCATAATATTAATATTAGGACAGTGCTAATGTTTAAATTTCACAGATAGGACATACATGACATATTTTTAATTCCTGCAAAGTTCTACAGAATCTGATGTTGGCTGCAAAAGGGACATAGTATCTTTAATACAATAAATATCAATTTCAATTTCTAAAATTTAATAGGCGAGGCCTCTTTTTAAACCACGTGTTGCGCTTCGTGTGTGCCGTTGTCCACTAATAGATTGTACAAACCCAGTCCGCCAATTGTTGGGCTAATTGAACTTGAGGACCGGTTGGCTTCGTTGATTTTATTACAAAACATCCATGAAACATACTTGACATGTAATTATTTGATTATTATAATCATAAGGCTTTGAGTGATGCCTTTGAAGCCCGGGGGGGGGGGGGGGGGGGGGGGGGGTTACTCACATATTAGGACATCTGGGGGTTTGCCGCTCTAATGGGTCACTTCGAAGCAACTCCCATAATTTAAAGGTGAATTTCATTGTGAAACTTCGTATTTGGAAATATTCATGACGATGACATCATTTTAACATTGATGTTGCCATTAACATTTTCCTGTTTAGAATAATAAAAAACACCATAATTAAATGTGACATATTTAGTAACCTCCGCGATTCTTTGTTGATTGAAAAGGATGAGGTCACGTGTTAGATCATGTGATGCGATGTCTGAAAAGTGCATCTTCCTATCGCGTAGGTCATTC